TGTAGAGGTCCTTAGCAGTCTTGCACTGGCCGAAGTGCTCGCGCTCGTCTAGCGGCAGGGAGTTGCGAATAGCAAAGCGAGCGTGCGCATCACGGGTCTGCCACTGGGAACGCAGAGTGCTGTCAGCAGACGAGTCAGGGGCAGTGGCATGGCCTAGGGCGTGGTCGTACAGTGAGATATCTTCCTTGGCAGTGAGCTGTAGGAACAGGTGCAGGTCATCTAGCCAGGTTTCGAACTTCACTGGGCGGCCCTCGGCATCGAAAGCTAGAACTGTCGGACTAGCCATAGTGACAGTAGCAGTAGTAGTAGTGGCAGTAGTAACAGTAGTAGTAGGAAGCGTGGCAGCAGGAGCTGCAACGGCGCACTGGTGGCAGCTGCAGTGGTAGCAGTGTGCGCAGTAGGTAGAAAATAAACAGCAGTGAGATCGAGTGCCTCGCGGGCAGCGGCTGCAGAAGCGCACGGGCGGCAGTGGCTCACGGGGAACGGCGGTGCACTGGCAGCGGCAGCGCACGGGCAGCTACAGCGTAGGAGCAGCGACGGCGCACGGGCAGCGGCGGCGCACAGGCAGCGGCGGCGCTCGGGAGGCAGCAGTGCGCAAGCAGCAGCGGAAGCAGCGGCGTACGAGCGGCTGCGGGCAGCGGGGCGTGCGCGAGCAGGCGACGGGCTTATACGCACGGGCAGCAGCGCCGACAGCGCACGGGCGGCTGCAGCAGCGAGCGGTGCGCAAGCAGCAGCGGCAGCAGCGCACGGGTGGCAGCGGCGTCGGTGCACGGGCGGCAGCGGCGTCGGCGGACGGGCGGCTGCGGGCAACGGGCGTGCGGCAGCTGCGGCGGCGAGCTGCGGGCCTGCGGGGCCACGGCGGGGTGTGCGCGAGCGGGCGACGGGCGGCTGCAGCAGCGGGCGCGTCAGCGAGGCGCACAGGCAGCGCGCGGGCAGCGTGCGGGGCCGCGCGTAAAGAAAAACAGCCGCGCGCGTGCGGCTAGCGGGGCGCGCGCAGCGAAATCGACCGCGCGCGGGCGGCTAGCAGGATACGCGCGCTAAAAAAAAAGTCGAGTCGCGGGCGGGTGGCTGGCGGGCTGCGCGCGCGCGGTAGGTAGGAGGCGCACGAGGGCGCGTAGGCGCACGAGGCGCACGGTAGGTAGGTAGGTATGTAGGTAACGGTGGGCCCTAAGAACGGTCCTAGCGAAGGACCTGCTCTGAAACCATGTCAGAAATAACGGACAGGAATGATGAACTAGAAAGAACTGGGAGTACAAATATGAAACCCTAATGTTGTGACCCCCCTATAGGCTAACCCACTACAGCCTACACAAATATAACATATACAATGTTTGACATGAGGACCCGGCCGCTGGAGTCTCTTCTGCTTCTGGAGACGCTACGCGGCCGCGACCGTACTTCGTACCGCTCCTTCAGCAGGTTCTTGGGCAGGCTCCTCCTCCTTGTCCTCCTCCCTCCGTAGAGTGTCCTCCGCCTGTCCAGCCGCAGTCACAGTTACCGCCTACCTCGCCTCTCCCTGCTCCCTCTCCTTACACTGGTCCCACAGGAGGTCTTACAGAGCGTCGTGAGCCTGAGTCTCGTCCTGCGTCGCCTGTTCGTCCTGCTCGCACTGGTAGTCGTGTCCGTCGTGAGCGTCCTCCTCCTGTCTCTGGCACTCACTACATGACTCTGCGTCCCTCCACTGCTCCTCAGCGTGTCCCGCTACCGTCTCCTCCTGCGTCCTCTTTGCCTGACGTTCTGGACCCTGAGTCTGACCGGTTTCGTGCTGAGCACCCTACTGTCACGCGTCTCCTCGCTACTGTTGTCACTGACCCTACCTTTGAGTCCTCGACTGCGTCTGCTCTGGTCGCTGAGTTGGTTGACTTTGCTGCTGCCTGCCGTCTAGACTACGCTGCTAGCCTTGTTCCTGAGTCTGAGTCTGAGTCTGTCTATCCTCCGTCCGTCGGGGGTGAGTGTGCTCTTGGCACGGACGTCCTTGAGGACAGACAGGAGGAGTTCCAGTGTCTTGCTGCTGCTTTGCCCCGTCTCGTGTCCTTGCTAGTTGCCCCTGAGGGAGACCCGGATGCACCAGACATCCCGACCCCGCGCACTTACGCTGAGGCGATGGCGGGTCCCTACTCCTCTCAGTGGCAGACAGCCATGGACGCCGAGATGGCTTCCTGGAAGTCCACACGCACCTACGTTGACGAGGTTCCCCCTCCTGGGGCGAACATCGTCAGTGGCATGTGGATTTTCAGGGTGAAGCGGCCGCCGGGTTCTCCGCCTGTCTTCAAGGCACGTTACGTGGCTCGAGGCTTCAGTCAGCGAGAGGGAGTTGACTTCTTCCAGACCTTCTCCCCCACCCCGAAGATGACTACTCTTCGGGTGCTGCTGCACATAGCCGCTCACCGCGACTACGAGCTTCACTCACTTGACTTCAGCACTGCGTTCTTGCAGGGCAGCCTGCACGAGGAGATCTGGCTGCGCCGCCCACCTGGCTTCACTGGGTCCTTTCCTCCTGGTACCCAGTGGAGGCTTCAGCGGCCGGTCTACGGTCTCCGCCAGGCTCCGCGTGAGTGGCACGATACACTGAGGACTACACTTGCGGCTCTTGGGTTCGCGCCTTCTACAGCTGACCCGTCGCTGTTCCTGCGCACCGACACTTCGCTGCCGCCGTTCTACATCCTCGTGTACGTCGACGACTTGGTCTTTGCCACTGCTGACACTGCAGGACTCGCCTACGTGAAGTCGGAGCTGCAGAGGAGACACACGTGCACAGACCTGGGTGAGCTGACAAGCTATCTTGGCTTGTGGATCACCCGGGACAGAGCACGGCGCACCATCACCCTGACTCAGTCACACATGGTGCAGCAGGTTCTCCAGCGCTTCCGCTTCACGTACTCCTCGCCTCAGTCCACTCCTCTGCCTACCGGTCACTCGCTCTCAGCTCTGCCTTCGGATGAGTCCGTAGAGCCGAGTGGCCCGTATCCAGAGCTTGTGGGCTGCCTCATGTACCTAATGACCTGCACTCGACCTGACCTTGCATACCCTCTTAGCATCCTTGCACGCTATGTCGCTCCTGGCCGTCACAGGAAGGAGCACATGGATGCCACTAAGAGGGTGTTGCGCTACTTGTGCAGTACGTCGGGCATGGGGCTTGTGCTTGGAGGGCGAGACCGAGTTGTTCTCACAGGGCACTCAGACGCTTCTTGGGCAGACGACCAGGCCACTCAGCGGTCGTCTCAGGGTTACACCTTCAGCCTTGGCTCTGGCTCAGTTTCTTGGCGCTCTACACGCTCTTCTTCTGTTCTCGGCTCCAGTTGTGAGGCTGAGATCTACGCCACAGCCATGGCTGCTCAGGAGCTACGCTGGCTGACCTACCTGCTGACCGACCTCGGAGAGCGGCCTCGTTCTCCTCCAGTGCTGTACGTCGACAACAAGGCTGCCATTGCCTTGTGTGAGGAGCACAGACTGGAGCACAGAACGAAGCACATCGCCCTGCGGTACTTCCTTGCTCGAGAGTTGCAGCAGCGTGGTCAGCTTTGTATTCGCTACGTGGCCACTGAGGCCAACACTGCTGATGTGTTCACCAAGGCGCTTCAGCCTCGTGACCATCAGCGCTTCTGCACTCTACTAGGCCTTGTGCCTACTGGACCTCACTTGCTTACCTCTTGACTTTGCTTGTACTGTGATCACTATATATATATACCTGCATGTTTACTCTTGCTAGGTTGTGATCACTGTATCTCTTGTTCTGTTATAAACCTGCATGTGAACTGGTCTTGTGACCACTAGCTTGTGCTTGGAATTTGTGTGGAATCCTTGAGATCCACCCTGAGCTTGTTGTTGCCTTGCTTTGCCTTGACTGGTCTTGTGACCCCTAGGTCTCCCCCACTTTGCCTATGGAGGTGTGTCAAACATTATACATGTTGTATTTGTGTAGGCTGTAGTGGGTTAGCCTATAGGGGGGTCACAACATTAGGGTTTCATATTTGTACTCACAATCCTTGTTAGTTCAAATATGAAACCCTAATGTTGTGACCCCCCTATAGGCTAACCCACTACAGCCTACACAAATACAACATGTATAATGTTTGACACCGACCTGGAGATTGCGACAATGAAGGCAAAGCAGGACATCCCGGGCTCGGTTCGGAAGAGCCACGGAGTCCCGCACTCTGATGACTCGCTTCCAGTCAATTGTCCTTCCCCACTCCTCCGACCATTTCTCTTGCTGCTGCAAAGCCCCATGCTGCGCGCCAAACAGTAGCCTCAGCTTTATAAACGGGGAAATCTGATCCTCAGCACAGAGCTCCGAACAGCGCAGCCACACTTCAGGCAGCCCGCTTGTTCCAATCACCTTTCCGCCTCTCAGTATCAACAGCTCCACTTTGTTCAGGTCGAGAACTGCAGCCACTTCCGCAGCTCCCACCCGTACCTCTCAGAAACAGTCACAAGCTCGGCAGGCAAGACCGTCCTGCCCCACTGCCTCCACCTTCCATTCACCCGCTTCACCTATCTTCTTCACGAAAGTCGACTCCGCCAGAATTTCCGCTCCCGTGACTGGCGCCAGTAGTTTCTCTTTTCACGAGGCTGGAACATTGCCAAAGAACTTCAGCGCCTTTCGCGCCTTCTTGTGCGTACCCAACTCCTTTTCCAACGTTTTCTCGTCCTTAATGAAACGCATACCATCATCTGCAACGCCAACAAAATCACCAAGCTACTTGATGCCCCAACGGTTTTTTGTCGTTGGGCAAGACTTGCCGGTTGAAGACCAGCGGCTCCTGCGCGATATCCCAGGGCGAGACCAGACCTCCTTTTGCTATGCTTGACATCATGAAAAATTCACAGGTCTGCTTCCATCTGACGCTTTGTCCTTTCCATTCTTTCAGGAAGTCCGGGTGCGCCCAGAAGGAGTGGAAGCCGACGGAGAGGTCAGCTGCTTATTTCGACAGCCACCTGCGGACGCCTCTCCTGTTCAGCACCAGCAACCCCACCCTTCTCGCAGCCAGGCCGCTGAGTTACACGAACGGATCACGAACCTCCAGCCAGCCATCCTTCCTCGGTCTGAAAATCAGTTCCCTGCTCCAAAGCGTGAAGTGCCTCTCCTCCGAAGCCTTGTTCCCAGAAATAAAGTTTACAAGCAGCTTCATGATCCCCTTCCACACTTTCTCTGACGTGGGGTAGACTTGCCCTTGGAACGCCAAGATTGGGCAGACATACGTATTGACCACCGCCACCCTTGCCGTTGTGGTCAGGTGCCTCGACTGCCATTTCACCAGCTCCTCAGCCGCTCTGGCCAGCGTCTTATCCCAGCTGACTTCCGCACTGCCTGATGGGGAGACCCAGATCCCCAAAAGTCTTTCCGCTTTAACTGCTTCAACTTGCGTGAAACCTGACACCTCGCCCTCCTCTTCTGACAGGTTCTTCCCAAGCGGGAGCAGAGCCGACTTCTCCTTGTTAACATTGAGGCCAGATTGGGCACCGAAATCCTCCAGAAGTTTCACCGCACAACCAACTTGCCGCTTCCCGTTCAGCACAAGCGTCGTGCCATCCGCATACCCCAGGTAAGCTAGTCTGTCGCCATGGTCATCACAAATGCCTAACCTCCTCTTTTTTGCTTCCTGGCAGAGCAGCTCCACCGCGCATAGGAAGAGGTAGGGGGCCAGCGGGCACCCTTGCCGGACTCCCTTACACACATCGACACGATCGCACAGCCAGCCGTTGACCAAGAGCCAAGTAAAGGAGCCCCCGTGCAGACCTTCGCACCAGCGGATGAACCTGACCGGGAAACCCATTAGCGCCATCGTGTCAAAGAGAAATGTCCGCGACACAGAATCAAAAGCCTTCTGGAAGTTGACCATCAGAAGATACCAGTCCCCAATGACATTATTCGCCGCCTCAATCACGTCCGCGACCGTCGATACTGCATCAGACAGCCGTCTTCTGGGAATTAAGCCATGCTGCTCCTCCGAAATGACGGTACCCAGCACTTTCTTCATGCGGTTAGCCAACAGCCTCGCAACCACCTTGTAAGAGCTTGTCAGCAGGGTAATCGAGTGGTAATTCTGCACTTGATCCCTTGGACCCTCTTATGCAGGAGGATTGTCACCGCCTCCTGCACTTCCTTCGGTATGACTGCTGATGATTCAAACTGCTTAATGAAACCCATGAAATCCTCACCCAGAAAGTCCCAATGGCGCTCGAAAAGCTCCTTCGGCAGCCCATCGCTGCCCGAAGACTTGTCACATGCCATGTTTTTCAGTGCCTCCTTCACCTCCTCCTCCGACCATACTGCTTCCAGACTTGCTCTCTCCTCGTCCCGGAGTGTCTTCAGCAGATCCGGTTTCCAGCAAGGCGGTCCCGACGGGGGCCTCTTTGCGAAGAGTGACGCGTAAAACTGAGAAGCAGCTTCCAAGATACCCTTTGTCCCTCTCTGCTCCACCCCTTGCGACGACAAAGCGGTGATCATTGTCCGCGACTTCTTCGATTTCACTTTCGCCGGGAGGACTTTTGATGCAATCTCCCCTTTCACCCCTGCTAGCAGATGTAGTCTGTCGTTCTCCCCTTTCAGGTACGCCGCCAGCTGCGACTCCTTCTCTGAAAAGACCGTCCGGAGGTCGTCCCGGTGCGGGTTCCTCATCAACTCCTGTTGTAGCCCTGAGACTGCCAGCTCCAGATGGCGCAGCGTCGCCCGCACCCGTTTCCGCTCTTCCGTCGCATAACGCCTAAGCGCCGCTCTGAGCTTGGTAAGAAGGTAGCCGAAACTTCCCGAGTTTCCCGCCTGATGCCTCTCCGTGATCGCTTCAATCACTCTTTCCACTCCTGGCTTAGTCGTGTCCGCTGATGGCATCCTCCGAATGCCCGGTCCCATGTGCAGCCTCAGGTTCGCCTGCAACACCACCTTAACACCACACTTGTGGTCCGAGATTCCACCCAGTGAGCGGGTGTGACACGCCTCAACAACCGAGGGCAGCAGCTCCGCCGACACCAGTACCCAGTCGATTCTCGAGCTGGACTTCGTTGCCTTCGCGTAAAAGGTGAACTCACGACCGCCCGGGTTCAGCGTCCGATATACTGTACATCCGCCATATGCAGGCCACTGAACAGCTGCACCATTCTGTCATTTTCTCCAGACGAACCCCCCCCTGGGGATCTGTCCAGGATTGGGTCTTCCACAACATTAAGATCGCCCGCCAACAGTACTCTACTCCGACCGCACAGACCCGTAAGGAAGGGGCCCAACACATTCCTGAAAAAGGTAACCCTGTTGCACGCGCTTGCTGGGAAATACGCCGCCAGGATCGTGAAGCCGAAAGTGTCCCATCTCACATCCACATGCAGAAGCCTTCCTGATGCATGTGGAACCACATTCTCGAAGACTAACTGTTTGTTATTGCTGACAACCGCCACCCCTCCGGCCCTTTCCACGTTAGCCACCGCGAAGCAGTGATGGAAGCCTAGCCGCTTCCAGCACTCATGATCCGGAGAGACTCTTGTATCAGTAAGTACAAATATATCCGCTTCTTTCTTTGTCCACCTTTTCAGGTTCCGTTGCTTTCCTTTACTCCCGAGCCCGTTGACATTGAGATCGCACAACGACAGCTTGCAGGGTTTATCCATTAATCAACACGGTGGGAGCCCCAAAGCATCCACGGGCTGAGGTGAGGTATCTGATAAGGCATGGGTTATCACTATAGAGCATCGCATACATCCATATAGAGCATCTTAGTACTACACCCTCCAACTCTCTCCTTTCTGCTGAGACATCTCTTAAATCCCATACTCCTTGTGCAGCACACGGAGGTTCAGCTTGTCCTTGAGGGCACGTGTCCCTGCTCCCTGCTTCGTCAGGCCCCCGCGGTGACGTTGAGATAGCACATATTGCGCGGCCTGCTCGAAGGACGAGCCCTTCCCTTTCTCGCAACATTCCAGCAGGCAGACCCACTCCTCCCTGTTCCCAGCCGTTGAAACCAGCACTAGTGCAGGATCCTTGAGAATAATCCTGGTCATCGACGTGGCTACCGTTGCGGCCGCTGCATGGGTGGGAGGTAAGCAGCTGAACATCAGATAACGCCATGAAGGAAAAAACATCGACACCACGGATGCTACGAAAAGGTAAGCAGAAGACTCCGTGACTACTGATGAGCTCCTGGATCCTCCCCACTGTGAGGTTCCACTTGGAAATATTGTTCTGGCGCTCTGTAACGAAATCATTGTGGTTGTGAACAGAGTGCATCCCCCCGCAGAGCGAATACTTCAACGCCGGGTAGTGCACCATAACCTTTGCGCCAGGTGAGACTGGGTTCTCGAACTGATGAAGCCACCGAAACTTGTCATTCTCATGAGCGACGACCAGACCCTTCACCCGGTCAGTGTCAAGCCCAGAGACAGGGTGCACTACGCGATGGAAATGAAGCCGTCCTTGAAAGCCGGACGCTTGCGGATCTTCAGCGGAGAGACGGCCAGGGCCTCACGAAGCATTTCCGGTGAGATCTCTGCCGCGACACCAAGAAACAGGACCTCGATGACCTTCGGGTCAGTAATCTTCCTCTTCGTATAGCCCGGGTCCTCCGGGTAGAGCCAGTCAAGAAAAATGTATTTCCCGTCCACGCACTGATGCTCAATACGATTGCACCAGACAAAGTTAGCGTCAGAAGCAGCAACAAAAATGACTTGCATGCGACCATAGAGATTCTTCGCAATATACCCAGGATCCAGTTCTTGGAATGTCGTTTTACCCGCGCTCTCCGTAATTTCATTCTCCCAGATCCCCAGCAGTTCCTTAATCGTCGACTGCATACGGCGCACTTCCAAAAGATGATCAGCCAGAATCAGCAGGGTAAGCGGGAACCGAAGCTTCGCCGCCAGATCCTCCTTTGCCTTGTCTTCAAAACACTCCTTCGGTTCATGAGCCACAAGACCGTCATCTTCATCGTCCAGGTAATTGACACAGCGAGCATCGTTGGACAGATCCTCATACTCGTCATCTGCAGCCGATTCCTCCTCCGCATCCGAGACTGCATCTTTGAAATCCACGTCCTTCCCCTTTCCTTTGTCACCCTTCTTAACAGCAGCCTGCTCAACCCGGGAAGCCGCTAGCCTGGCCGAAAGTGTCAGAGACTCGGAATCTTCCTCCGCGAACAGCGTCTTAGACGACTTCGAAGGAACTGCCGTGGCCAACAGAGGACGCACAGAAGGCCCTGCAGCGGTAGTCTTCAACGCAACAACAGCAGCTGCAGCAGCAGTCGCAGCAGTAGCAGAAGGGTCCGACATGATAGCACGCTTGACAGGCTTCCCTTTGGGAGGCATGGCGTGATGATGAAAAAGCCATCACAACCAGCAAAGTGCTGGAGAATCCGCAAGCCTGAGCGCCATAAAAAAGCCTCCGAAGTCAGCCTTTGGAAACTGTGATCCATTGCCTGACGGAAGCCTTGAACTTGGTAATGCCTTGCTAGAACAGTGTATGATAATAATAAAGCCTTGAGAACAGCACGCTGACTCAGCACCCAGCACAGAACCTAGAATGTAGACACTGATGTTAGATGCCAAAAACCAATGAGCGTGAACCACGGGAAATGTCGAGTCAATGTGTATGGAAATAAAAAGCATATCGACCTTTTCCTTGTGCAATGGCGAAGCTCGATAACTGTTGGTGCAACCCTACGGTTTGCACTCGGCTTGTTGTCCGTGTGCGTGTGTGTGCATGCGTGTGTGCATGGAATGGTATGAGTGCATTAAAGGAATATATATTTCATGCTTATAATGGTGTGAAAATGATGGGTCATGATGTCGAGTGTGTGTGTGTCAAGTCAATAGCGAGTTATCGCTAGCCGCGTGTCAATGCGGTCATTTGTGTCTCGCGCGCGGTTTCTATTTTGTCGTGTGTCCCGTGCGCGGTTTCTATTTTGTCCTGTCTTGAACGTTCGGCGTGTCGCAGGTGTGTGCAGCAGACCCATCAAGAACTCGAGGATGATTTTGTGATGAAGAACCCGAGCCTTGGTTGCAAGCTTCAAGTGATTTCGAAGCTCGCCAAAAGGGTACACCTCAAGATATTGAAGATAATTAATTACATTACAATGTGTAGTGTAACATTTCTGTTGGTGTAGACCCTTGTGGAGGGTAGTTTCGAGACCCTTCTTGGTTGGGGACAGTGTGGCACTGTTCCACATCACTGTACCTCGGCTCTTGGGGTTTGTAGGAGCTGGGAGTCATTCCCAACTCGTAACTCTTCCTAGCTGTTCGTAATTGTGTGTTCTAAGACTATGTTGCTGCCATAGTGCCGTTCGTTCAAACCGACGCTGTGACGTCAATTCTTGATGAAAACGTGCGATCTAAATTGCTTATTGTAGGCGACGTCAAGACGCTCCAGATCCAAGTTGAATAAGGTCATTTGGAGTTCTGAGCTGATCGCTATGATTGTTTAAAGCCGCTAAGCAGAAATCTGACTGCGCACTCTATCTTTCGTTCTAGACCCATTGTAGCCTATTGTGACTATAACAAGTGGTATCAGAGCGCCTTGGAGCAGCTACGACGATGGCTGGACCTGAAGAAAGGGGTGACAGAGGTGCTGGTGGCAGTGGAGGACCCCAAGCACAAGGCCAACCTCGTGATTCGGCCATGGCGTCCGTGCAACCGACACTTGGACCTTCTAAGGACGAACCGAGAGTGTTCGGGCTCAAAAAGTTCAACGGCGACAACTTTGCTGAGTGGTCCTTCAGAATGGAGAACGTGTTTGACCATTATGACCTGCTGGAGGTGATGGAAGGAACGGATAAGCGTCCCGAGAACGACCCGGAGAAGAGCCCGTGGGTGCGGAAGAGCGCACAAGGCTAACTCCAACTTGGGCAAGCATTGGGGAGCAACCAAATCCGTCACATCAAGCCTTTCCAGCATGAACCAGAGAAGGGACCAAAGGCATGGGCTGCTCTCAAGGGTGTACACGCTCCTGCAACAGCGGCGGTAGCTGTGGTGTTGGAACGGCAAATGGCGACGCTACGAATTGAGGAAGATGAACCCGTGGAAGACGGGGTGCAGAAATTCTTTGACTTGTTGACGCTGCTTGAGTGAGCTGATTTGAAGTTGCTGGCCCTACTCCCCGAGTCGTGGTCCTCGCTCATCATCAATTTGAATCGCGACTTGCCCCGCCTCTCGCTTGAAGACGTGAAGTGAGCAATCCTTAAGGAGGACTTCCGCCGCCATGAGTTGGTGAGTGCGGATGGCAGCCGTGCAGCGAGCATCGGCCGAGGGTACGGCCGTGGAAGAGGCAGACGACGAGGGGGAGGAAGGTTTGGCGCCAGCAACTTCGGCGGAGGCCACGGGAGTGGAAGCTACGGCAACGATGACAAGAGCTACGGTCGCGGCCGCGGACGTTTCGATGGCGAGTGCCATTATTGCCACAAGAGCGGACACATGTGGCGCGATTGCTACAAGCTCCCTGAAGGATGGACCCTTGCTCAAGGCCAAGAGTGTAGAGGACTAGGAGCTGGGAGAGGAAGAAGCCGTGGAGGCCGTGACGATCGCGGAGGTGGAGCCGCGAATATGAAGGGCGGAGATAACGACAAGGACCCGAGCGACGATCGCTACCCGGGTCTATTCTACTTTGTGTCCACGCAAGTACCGGTTGTTCCAGAGAAGGATGAAGGCTTTGAGGAGCCAGCAGCTATGGGGAAGGTGACCCTACACCCCCTGGACTATTGGGTGATCGACAGCGGAGCTACCTATAGCATGACACCTCGCCCCGACTTGCTCACCGAACTTGAACTGTCACCGGTGAAGATGGTGCTGATGGAAAGATGGTGGGCCTCAAGAACGTGCTTTGGGTGCCCAGCCTTGCTGCGAACCTGATTTCCGTGCGGCGGTTGGCAAAGGCCGGCATGGACACGAACTCGAAGGGAGCCAAGACCTACACCGCAAGGATTGGCGACCGGATTCTTTGGGACCTTCATGAAGATAGGGATGTCTACAACGAGATGTGGCAGATCCCTGTGGTCCCTATGCCTAAGGAGAGGCAAGTGGCAGATCCCTGTGGTCCCTATGCCTAAGGAGAGGCAAGTGGCAGCAAGCATCAGCGCCAAAGGTGAAGCAGTTGATAGCTAGCGGCGATGGCGCGAACGGTCGCGCTAAGGAGAACGAGCTCAAGAGGAGCAAACCTGGAGTGACCAGCAAGCTGTGTGACCATAAGGAGAGTGGTGCAGCAGCCAAGGAGCAGCACAAGGGTGAGGAGAACCCCAAGGCAGCAGCGAAGGAGGACTACGGAGAGAGTATGTGGGGCGCTATTGCGAGCGCGGCATTCTCCAATCCGACTTCGGCTACGGGGGAGTGTGATTGGCTCACCTTGCATCGGCGAATGGGGCATGTGGCCCTACCTATCTTGCAGCAGCTAGTGAAGAATCAGAGGGCTGCTGGCATACGTGTGAAGGGGGAGCCCGATGAGGTGCTTGGCTGCCCGACGTGCATGCAAGCCAAGTTCACTTCTAGTGCGGAGGCAACGGCAAAGGCACCGCTTGATGAAGTGGTGATGGACGTGGTGGGCCTCCTGAAGCTTGGAGCTGCAGGAGCTGAGTGTTTCCTCACCATTGTTGATGTCTACACCCGCATGACTTGGGTGTATGTGCTGGCCAAGAAGAGCGACGTGGCTGAAACGTTGAAGACGGATTGGTTCCCGATGGTGGAGCGGCAACAAGACCGTCTAGTCAAGTCAATCCGCACCGATCGAGGGGGAGAGTTCCTGAGCAAGGAGTTTGGGTTGTGGCTGAAGAAGAATGGTATTCGGCACTCCCTCACCATGCCATACTCCCCTGCAATGAACGGCATCGCCGAGCGAGCGAACCGGACGATCACGGAGGCGGCACGCGGGTTGCTCATTGAAGCCGGGCTACCCAACTACTTTTGGCCTGATGCGGTGCGGAGCGCGTGTGTGGCCAAGAACAGAGTTTTGACTCATGTGGGAGCAGACAAATGGGTGCCCTATGTGGAGTGGCTCGGCAGGAAGCCAAAGGTGGATATGCTTCGGGTGTTCGGGTGCATGTGCATGGCGCTCGTGCCTAAGCATCTTCGGCACAACAAGCTTGGTGCCAAGGCGGTGTGGGCCGTGCACTTGGGCATGGCTCAAAACAGCAAGGGGTGGCTTCTTTGGGACCCATTCACCAAGAAATTCATGGTGAGCAAGGACTGCAAGTTCATGGAGAACTTCATGTACAAGGATTGGAAGGCGGAGAATGAGGCGAAGATAGGCGTGCGGTTTGGGGAGGTGAAGAGTTCCGGCTTGGAGCACGTGGAGCTGCCTTTGGAGCTGAGCAGCGGCAGCACCACCACAAGGCAATCTTCACTTATGGATAGGGGAGAGGAGGCCAAGGATGTAGAGGAAGTAGGAGGGGGTGCAACAAGTGAGCGAGCGTGCACCGACACTCCCTTCCCGCACTACGAGCGCTCCACGGAACCGCACCACACCGCAGCAACGCCAAGGCCTTCAAGTCCCTGCAGCTGAGGAGGAAGGAAGGTTCAAGAGGAGAGTCAACTAGGCTGACCTATGATAGGCCGGGAAAGCAGGGCAAGACAGCCTTGGCCGGAGCGGCAATGATGTTCGGAGATGACGAGGAGAGCGACTACGAGGAGTGTGCCTTCGCGTTCTTCTCTCCGGTGGAGATGCCGGGAGAACCAGCAACTCTCAAGGAAGCCTTGGAGAGTAGTGATGCTGAGGAGTGGAAGAAGGCCGTGGAAAGTGAGCTGAAGAGCATCGAGGAGAACGACACGTTCGAATTGGTGGAGCTACCGGAGGGGCGTACGGCGATAACGTCCAAGTGGCTCTTCAAGATCAAGTCAGACGCCGACGGCATGATCGAGCGCTACAAGTCTAGGCTTGTGGCCAAGGGGTACCAGCAGAAGGAGAATGTGGACTTCAAGGAGCTGTTTGCTCCTATGGTGAAGCCGACAACGCTGCGGACCCTACTCGCGGGAGCTGCCATCAAAGGATGGGTGGTGAAGCAGATGGACATCGTAACCGCGTTCCTCAACGGCATTCTTGAGGAGGAGATTTTTATGGCGCAGCCAGAGGGGTTTGATGACGGTAGCGGCAGAGTGTGGAAGCTGAAGAAGGCCCTCTATGGGCTCAAGCAGGCCCCTAGGCATTGGTACCTGAAGCTGCACGAAGTGTTGGAGGAGATCGGCTTCACTCCCTCAACGGCCGATCACTCATTGTTCATGCTTGGCGAGGGGGAGCAGAGGAGCTTCATGGTGGTGTACGTGGACGACATCCTGATCTTCTCACCCTCCTCTGACCTTGTGAAGGAAGTGATGTTTAAGCTGCAAGA